TCTTAAAGTAGGAAAACATATGAATATGACTTGAATACATACTGGAGAATACATTAAGCAGTAGATCTATTAACTTATAAAACAAACAAAGAGCTTTGAGCAAGATTTCACCTTGTCGGGTAAGGTTGAACTTCTTGCAATCACTTCTCTTTTGAGTTTATAGGGTTTATATGCTAAGAAGGGATGGATGGTAAACAAGTTTACACGAGCAAATCGATACTACACTATTAGGGGTGATAGCAGAGCTTCTAAACTAAACAAAAGATGGCTTTTTGCAGGGAATGATCCTAAAAAAAATTGAGATTTAGGCTTATTACAGCTTTTAGATGCAAATCTGGCTTGAGACCAGAGTTTGTATGTTTTTTGTTTGATTGGTTGAGTGTCCTTGTCTCTGGGGCCTCTTCCTCCTTTTGTAGGCAGATTAGCTTGACTGCTGTAGCTTTGCTCTTGCCCGAAAGTAATTGAAAGGTAGTGAGTCATCAGCTTTTTACTTGTATTACCACTGAAAAGTGTTTTTTGGCTGATTGTGGGTTAGTCCCCACCACTTAACACTTAAATCATAGGCACATGGCCTATGCATTAATGAGAAGGAGCCAATTTGTCTCTGGGCTTGATGCTGGGCTTCGGACAAGTTTTCCTTTAATTGGTGTTTTTGGGCTTTCACACACTTGCAGCCCAAAGTTCAAATATTAACCCAAACAATATCTTTTGTTTAAAAAAAAAGGTACGACACGAGAAATGAACAAGCACCAATATGATGACTAGCTTCGATACCATACTGAAAAGCACCACCCAAAAACTTATGTTATCAAATACTATTCAGTGTGATAGAGATATTTTATCCTGTTAATTGAGTTGATAATTAGCGAGTCATTATTCTTGGCTTCGTCTAATATCTTGATCTTTCTTTCCAGTTTCTATAAACAAAAGCGTACTAATTTGTGAAGGAAATTTTGTAAGAGGAAGACAGAAATGGTGCTTGACGTGCAAGGGTGGCCACCAAATATTCACTATGTCTGCCACTCGCTCTTGTTTGAGTCAAAAATAATTTTTAAGTCAAATAAATGTAGAGAATGCATGTTCTTACCGTCATTCAATCAATGTAAACTGTCGGTTTACCCCCTAAACTTTCACTCTATTTTCGATTTCCCCCCTGAATTTTTCTATTGGAAAATTAAGAACTCAAACTAATTTTTTTAGCCAATTTGCCCCCTACCGTTAGTTTTTCATATATTTCATCCATATTTCCGTTAAGTGAGATCATGTGCACAACATGTGAGGATAGTTAAGTCATTTCACTCTTAAAAATGATTAAAAACTGAAAATAAATAATAATAAAAATTTTCCCTCTATTTTTTCCCGCTAATTCCTATTCTCAATTTTATTTTTTGCCCTCTCATTCCTATACATGAGAAATGACATATGGTGTTATTGTCTTCATAAGTAGCTAAGCTAATCTTTTTCTTGAAGCATGTACTACCATTTTTATTGTCTCTAACAAATTAATAATTTGACGAATGTTCATGATGTTATTGTCTCCAAAGCAGTACATTAATATAAGAAACATGTCCATAAAAAAGACTAGGGTTTCTTATATTAATGCATTGCTTTGGAGACAATAGCACCATTAGTATTTGTCAAATTATTAATTTGTTAGAGAAAATAAAAATGGTAGACAATAACATCATATGTCATTTCTCATGCATAGGAATGAGAGGGAAAAATAAAATCGAAGATAGGAATTAGCGGGAAAAAATAGAGGGAAAGTTTTGTTTTTTTTTTATTTTCAGTTTTTTAATCATTTTTAAGAGTGAAATGACTTAACTACCCTCAAATGTTGTGCATATGGTCTCACTTAACAGAAATATGGATGGAATATATGAAAAACTAACGGTAGGGGGGAAATTGGGTAAAAAAATTAGTTTGAGTCCTTAATTTTCCAATAGAAAAGTTCAGGGGGGAAATTGAAAATAAGGTGAAAATTCAGGAGGTAAACCGACAGTTTACTCATCAATTTCAACATACACGTGCAAAGATTTTGACGGATATGTAACACAATCAAAGAACGACTTTGACCATTGATCTGATCTTAATTTTCTTTTTCTTTTTTCCATCTGATCTTAATTTTCTAGGGTAGTACCTTTTTGTTAACAAAGTAGCACCAACTAGTGCGCCTCCGCATTATTTCAGATTTTTCTAACTCAATCATTGCCCCTGCAATGATGAAGATGAACCCCATTGCTCTAAAATATGTAGAAAAATAAGGTTCTAATTCTGTTTCAAAAAAAAAAAAAAAAATAAGGTTCTAATTCCTATATTAAAAAATAATAGTGGAGCACAATACTAAGTGAACATGAAAATTAGGATAAAAACATTAAAAACTGGTCGAGTAAAAAAGAATTCTCTGATATTAGGCAAGATGTGTCGAATAAAAACTCTAATGAACTAAGGTGTGTTGAACTTTCTCATACTATAAACTTAATGTAAAAACTCACATGTCAATAGTGAGAATAAATGACTTCAGATAAAACTCTCTTCTTTTAACAATTAGGCAAGATGACTCTCTATCTATAAAAGTTGAGGTGCCTTTTTTGAAAAGCATTGATCACCATTAAAAGGAAAAGGAAAATTAGCAATAATAAACATATTTTGACATTTAATTTGTATAAATGATCAATTTTTTTTAACGACGACATATTGATCATATATCTACGACACACGACATAACGATCATACAATAATAATATAGTAATGACATAATACACTAATCATTTTAGCTGCCAAAATATGTTTATTGTAGCTAATTGCCAAAAATAAAAAGTTTCACCTATTCATTTGAAATACATGCTTGGTCGCACACATCTTTTCGTCAACAAATACTCTTTTCTAATTTTATCCAATTATAAATTTAATATCAAAATATTATTAAATTTCCATCAAAATCTAGAGGGTTAATTTTCTCACTTACTATTTGGTTTCAATTTTAGAAATCGCATCTAAGGCTCTTGATTAGGTTGAAAGCACTATAAGGGGTGGTTTGGGAGTGAGGTGCTTAAAAAAAAAAACACCCATGAAAAAAAACTGTGAGGGTTTTAGGTGTTTGGTAAACTAAAAAAAATGGCTTATTTTGGAAGATGATGTGAGAATAAGCTGAAATCAAAGGAAAAGCTGAAGCAGTTATTTGCAACTTTGGAAAACTGGCTTTTTTTCAAAGCACACGGAGCTACAGTGCTCATTTAATGAAAAGACCCACTATCAGACTGTTTTTTTTTTTCCAAAAGCATTTTTACAAAAAAGTTTACCAAACACTCTGCTGATTTATTTCACAGCTGCTTATTCTCACAACAGTTTTTTTTCAAAGCACATCAATACCAAACCAGCCCGTCTCCCTTTTGGTTTTTTTTTTTGAAATTAAAAAAAAAAATCAATTGATGGCTTCGGTAATTAACCTTTTTAAAAACCGAAAAGACTAAAATAAGCATTTTAACAAAGAAATCCATGATTCACGTGGGATGTTACATAGTTCAAACAGCTTCCTCTGTTTCACATGCAAAGAGCATGTAGGCGATCATGATTAACTACTTAATAAGCCAAAAGAAATTCAAGCTAGCTGGGGAAGAATTATTTTATGTTTGCACTAGTTAGTGGGAAGAATAAAATATGGAGGGGACTGTACTGATTATGACATGAATGTTGCTCGTTATTTACTCTTTATTGGTAAACTACTAGATGGAATATTATGTTAGATTATTACTCTTTATTGGTAAACTATTAGATGGAATATTATGTTAGATTGAATAGGACAATCTTTACAGAGTATGCAATGGATATCCTTTTTTTTTTGCCCTAACTTAATTGAATTTGCTTAATCTCAAATGGTTATGAGATTATGAGCATTTGTCCATGCACTCATAAAGATATTTTGGTTGAGTTTCTCTCTCCGTGTGAATCATTTTTTAGCGAGGGCGCTAGGTGCAACCGCCAAAGACCCCAACACCAAATTAAAGGTCCCGAATTAGATTTTATTAATTGATATATTTGTAGGAAAAGAAATTTAGACAAAAGGTCATTTGCTAAAATCTATATATGTTAAGGCCACAGTCGGAAAACAAATGTTAATTAGTCTTTCTCAAAATTTTCCTAGAAATACATTTGATTCAATTGAAAGTTTGTATCCTTAATATCATTTCGTTTTAGCGAAACTGTTATGAAAATAAAATTGCTGTAACAAGAAAGGTTTAACTTTTCTCTTTTGATTCGCTTTTTCTTTACACATATACCTTGTATCACAATAAAATTGAAATCCCAAAATGGGGAGGGTTTAACTTTTTATTTTTATTTTTTAACAAACAATATTATCTATATTAAGCGGAAGAGAATTGTCACGTAGTACTACTGTCTAGTATTTTTTTCCTTATAATATTTTGTTGATGCGCATTTGATATAGTGTAAATTGGATTGTGTCTTCTTCAATCCAATTCAATCCGATCAGAGGTTAATATTCGTTCCTATAGGATTAATTATCGAAATCGATCACTTATATCCATATAAAAAAAAACTTTGCCGGTTTCTTCTCATGCGGGTATCCCTTGAGTCCTCTCATGATGATAGTCTTGAGGTGAGATATCAAAGAAGCAGGCAGACTGTGGTATGTTCCATAGATGCTCTGAGCATATGGAAGGTTTATGTCTTAATCGGATCGAGTTATCCTCACCACATTCCTTGTCCTGAAATGGCCTTTTGAAGCATAAATTAACTGCACGTCTGATGCTACTGTCAAGTTTAAAGTTTGAAATTTGAAAATTCTAGCCCTTCTACTTTGACCTTTTGCACCTTAGTCATTCATATTATTGTCAAAAACTTTACCGTCCTTTGATCCTTCGATCCCAAATCAGCCACAAGTGTCAACTGGCAGACTATGGCATGAGTAGCTTAACCACATCCCTTCATATATGTTCATGTCACCACAATCGAATCCTCCCCGAGGTTAAAAGAAGCAATACAAAGTGGATAAGAAATGTATACAGTCCAAAACAAATATCTACAAATCAATCCATCTTAAGATTTACAAAGGTGCTTGTGTGATTTGCAACTTTGAGAACAGAATCCATCTAAACCCGTTTATTAGACTTACAAACGACACCCGCTGTAAAAGCTAAACATTACATTTTAGACAAGTTCAACCCAACAAGTTCTAGAGCCCCTTTCAAGCATTAGCTCTTTGTATAACTCATCGTTATTAACAGTCATCTTAGTCAAAACTTTACCGTTCTTTAACAAATACTTTGCCACTTTCTTCACATGCGGGTATCCCTTAAATCCCCTTATAGTGATAGTCTTGAGGTGTGATATCAGACAAATAGGCACTGACTCCGTTGTCCTCCATCGGTGCTCTGAGTATAACACATTTCTCAAGTACCTGTCATGCTCCCCATAATCCTTAACACATTCCTCGTCCTGAAAGAGAACAAATGATGAGAACAGTACATAGCTGGAAGTTGGTATAACTTCGCATGAGTGGGAATACATCTTACTTCTTTATTTTCGATGACAAGAGATTCCAAATTAGGTGATTTCTTGAGCAACTGTGTTAACAAATCCCAACGATAGCAATCATAAAGAACCAACTTCAACTGGGTCAACTGATCGAAAGCAGGCGGACAACACTCCTTCACGAAATATAAAGAATTGACCTCATCTTGCATAAACTAGATGCTTTTTCAATTCGCTCAAATTATCAAATGCAGGCAGCCAATAACCCTTTGTGAAAGATAAAATATTGATCAAACTTATAAATTAAACATTTACTGACTGTTTGAAATCATAAATTGCCAAAACGTAACACAGGTTTGAATTACAAAACACTACTTTTGGTACGAAGTAAGAATGATAAATAGGGTAAAAAGAATGGAACAAGATGGCATGCCAGGGATGTGCTTTTACCTCATCTAATTTCTGGTCAAATTTCATTAAAACTATACTTATTCCAGAACTATCAACATAAACAAGGATTAGATTTTGTTCACAGGGCAAGAATTGAACTTTCTATTAACCGTTAATAATAATAATGTTAACAAACAGACTCGAGAAGAAAAATAATCGAATGCAACATTTTCCTTAGAACTCTATTTATTCTAGAATTATCAACAGAAAACAAAGATTAGATTTTGTTCACAGGGCAAGAATTGAACTTTCTATTAATCATTAATCCGTTTTCTTGGTAACCAAACAGATGGTAAAGAAGTCATAATGATGAAGCAAGGTACCTGAAACGTTCTGAGCTTAATTTCCCAGTAAAAAATAGTAGTGGCAGCGAAAAGTAATACTGTGATGCTTAGAACCGACGGGAGAAGTATATATCGGACAATGAGAAGCCTATCGAGAACGATTGGGTTTCGACCATGTCAGCTGCTTGACTTTGAACCTTTCCAGCCTTCCCACTCACGCTTTGAAAAAACTGACTTAGAAAAAAAATAAATAAATAAAAAATAAATAAATAAATAAATAAATAATAAATAAATAAAGAAATAATAAACTCTATTCGTGCTTTCAAGAACAATTGAAAAGGTAAATCCAAATATCACCAGCTTAGTATATCCTTTTTAAGTTCAACTACAAGTAATGACGGGTTGATGTTATAATATTATTGAAATCAAGGCCTACACATTAAATTATTGACGTATTATAAAAATAGTGCATATTAAAGATCAAGGAAATAACACAATATCTTCTCATACCAAAAAATAAAATATTCATGTGATAATATTACATAAACTACCCAAAGACCAAATTGAAGATTCATTGCCTTTGAGATTGAATGGCAAATTGGGATAAAATGTATTTAACCAAGCCATCCAAGGATTGGTATGAAGAACCACCTTGTTTGATGCAAATTTTTGCCTTTTCCATTAGCATTAAGATTCTATCTCTAATCTCCTCCCCTTCTTTTTCCGCCATTATTTTTCTAATTGTTCTTTCAATCTCCTTTCTATCCACCCCATGCTCTAACTGCAACCCAACTTTCCACACATGACTCACATATCTTGCATTTGCCATTTGATCACTTAGACATGGCATGCAAATCATGGGAACCCCTTCACAAATACTCTCCAATGTAGAGTTCCAACCATTGTGAGTCCAAAACACTCCAACGGCTTGATGTGCCAACACGTTTTTTTGTGGAGCCCATTTCAAAATTTGGCCCCTTCCATTCAAGGCCTTGATAAACCCGCTAGGCAATGGTTCGATCCATTCTGACCCATGGACTAACCCGGGTCGGACCACCCACAAAAAGGGTTGGTTGCTATTGGCTAGACCCCAAGCTATCTCCAAAAATAGGGTTTCATTAATTGCAGCAATGCTCCCGAAGCTCACATAGATGACAGATTGTGGTACTTGAGTGTTCAGCCATGGAATGCAACTTTGGTCTTGTGATAATAAATTGCTGATTGAAGAAGTGTTTGCAGGAAAGCACTTGTGAAGCGGGCCTATGGGGAAAATTGGAGTGTTGAATTCTTGGCGGATTGTTGCCAGTGAATTTCCTTCAATGTCTTCAAAAGTATTGAAAATGATCCCACATGAGGCTTCGACTGCCTTCTTCAAGCCAGAAACTGCTTCATAGTATTTTTGTGGGTCCTTTGTTTTGAGCACAGGAAGGTCTTTGACTTTCAAAGGTGGAAGCTCTAGTACTGGCTCTTCTAGTCGAGATTCTGTTGATCCCAACACAGAAAGATATCCATACAAATATAAGTAATTGTTGTAACCCTAAAAATATAAGTATATGTTAACATATAATTATGTGCATTGTACCAAACAATACCATAATTTTGACTCATTATCTTGTTTCTTCTCCTTTGATGCAACGATATTCTATTGTAGTCCTCTGGGAGAAGGATGTTTCTTGATCACACTATGGAGAAGTAATAACTAAATATCGAACTTAACACAAATCATGAATCGTAGGTTTTTACTATGTGAATTGAACCTGATATAGATACATTTTTTGACCTTTCGGCTAAGATCAACAGATCGTGTAGTACCATTGTCTGGCTACCCTTCATTTATTAGAAACCAAAGGATTCTCCCAACTTATTTAAATTTGTTTGTTACGTAAATCACATGTACAGTACAATTCATCGATTTCTAATAAACGTCTTAGATCGAAAAATTACTAATAGAATGAAGTCAAGTCGACAAAATAGAGCATCCAACTCCAATTAATTAAACAATAACAATAGATGGACTCAAGATCATAATTATATGTTGTCATGTAAGACTTGACGATTGATAAATGATTTTTCCTTTGACCAAAAAAAAAAAGAAAGAAAAGATCAATGATTTTTCCACACATTTTTCTCATTTCACACGCACCTCTACTGATTTTTGTTTCTTGGTTGTTCCTTTAATTTAAGAATCTTTATAAAAGTCAGAAATAAGTAGAAGTTTGCATAGATACAAAATGGATGTGGAATTTATACTCTCAACAAAGATAAGAGGGGGATGTATACCTAGATTGAAAAGGATCTGAAAAGAAACTCATAAGAAACCACACAGTTACCTTGTATTGGGAGGTAACCCTTTTCCAGCAGAAGTGGAAAAGCAGCATAAGCAACAAAGGAAGACGCAGCCGATGTCCTCAACAAAATCCTTGCGAGCTTAAGGTTCTCAGCAACGTGTTGAGTGAAACTAAACAAAAGGTCAGAGATCAAACAAGCAACAGGTTCCTGATCATCATCTGATAGCAACCTAGCCAAACATTCACTGAAGGGTTCAAAACACTTCACGTTTAGAAGCAAAATGAACGCCATAACATCGTTCGTGGAGGCCTCGGTTCGAGACAATTCAACGGGGATTGAGTGGAAGGTGAAGTGTGGATGGGTTGTAGGGTTGAGAGAGTTGAATTGGGTGTGGATTATGGTTATGGAGAAGCCTTTGTGGTGTAGAACGTTGGCTAGTTCTAGCATAGGGTTTATATGTCCTTGAAGAGGCATTGGGAACAAAATCAATCTCAAACCCTTCCTTTCCTCCATATTAGAACTCAGTGGGAGTTCTCTCTGTAATTTTCTCATCGATTGATAATTTTCCTCCATATTAGAAGCTTAGTGGCAGAATATTTTAGATAAATAATTGTAGTGTAAGAATGGATTGATTCATCTCATCGAGATTGTTTGAACTCATCGAGATCGATATTCCTTATTGGCGGCCGATGCAGAAGCATACAAGAGAATAAATACACTCTCTGCCTAATACAATTTGGAAATATAGCCATTTCAAAGTATACGTATTGAAATATGACCTACTTTTTTTAATTCTTATAAAGCTAACCACAATTGATGTTTAAAGACTAAATTACCCTAATGCTAAAACTTTCTCATTTCCTTTCTTCTTCCCATCTGTGAATTCTGATTGAGTTGCTTCTCAGTTATGTCTGATATCTATCATTTCCTCCGTCTCTTCCCCTTCCGACTTCCGTTTTCAACCTATATATATATATAAAATTCCATGAGATTGAGCTTCTCTTTCCTTCCAGTATACACAGCTCGCCATTCTGCTAAGTTAGTCGTCTTCTTCACGGTTGTGCGTTGGTAGGTGATGGGTGGTTGAATCAGTTCAATGACTAATCTATATTTGGTAAACAAAGTTTGCTATCGCAGAATTCGGGACTGAGGAAGTGAGAGGGAAAAAGATGTGTTGAGTCTGGGAGAGGAACTGGGCATGAGAAGAGAACTACCTGATCAGCGACAACATATAAAAGTGTAATAATGCACAGAAGATAGCAAGAAGCTGCGATGCCAATGATACATGCCAGTGCAACACAAAAAACATCAAAACCCAGGAAATTTACGTTGGAGCAATATTAGAAAATATGAAAATAACACAAGAATTTCAGTGATAATAATCATAGAAATTCACAACATCAATTATATATGAGATTAATATAAACAATTAGAGACAAGGTTAGAATAATTGACAAACTCGGAGATTGAGGCTTGCATAAATTCAATGTCCTAAAGATAGAATTTCGCCCCTACTCTTGTGCTTATAGTTCGGTAGGCGTCCATCTCCCAGGATTCAACAATCTATAATCCGAAGTCAAAGCACTTCAATCTTCGGACTCTGGCGAACTTTATATATTCCGTACTCTCAAGACATGACTCGGAATTTAACACACGAAACATGAGAGAAACAAAGTGGGGAAACCCTATTTCTCAATAGTAAAAATTAACTCTAATTTTCTATATGTAATACCAATGGTTTCATGGGTTTATATAGAATCCAACTTCTACTTATCAAAGAGATGTAACTTTTCATCTATAAGTATACATTATTTATCAAGAGAATACACCTAAACAACATAACCTTTCTAAGAAATTGGTTATTTTTCATTCAATTATTAAAATTATATATTATAATATTTCATATTATAATATATAATTTCCAACAATCCCCACATGAAAGAAAAATCAGGAAGAATTTGAGAGTATAGGCGGACAAGAGATGCATCGAGAGAGGTGTCTTTTGGACTAGAACCTACCCTAGTGAATACTTATCGGATTTACTTGGTGACGCAGTGAATATAAAATCTTGAACTGTTCACCGCAGTAGTAAACTGAGACAATAAGCAACACACATCACTAATCCTAATATATTCCGGTTCATACGGTTGTGTTCATTTTGGTCCTGAATAAATCCCGGATTCATGAGAGCTTTAGAGAATTTAGCCATCTCATACTCATAGAAGCGACCCACTTCTACTCTCACATAGGTGACCACTGATTAAGAATAGTCTGCTCTATTTCTCTTAGTTATAAGATATCACTGTCATTAAGTATAAATATACAACCTAAAACGTCTACAAACAACACACTTCTTCCATCATAGGAATGAGGTATATAGTGTGTTAACTTCTTTGAATCATGCCCAACCAGTTTGCCTATTGAACTTAGACCATGGGATCTCCAATCAACTAAGTTAGGTTTCCGCTCGGCTGATTCATTAGTTATGTTGGCTTTAGCCTCATTTCCCTCGATGATCAACTTACTCTATAGTCAAACCTTTAATAATTGGTACCACTTAGGTTGACTATCTTTAATGGGTGTATACAATCCATCTTATGAAATCATATTTCAAACGAGAGTAGTTGATTTACAATGTCAAGTCCTCAACCGTACATGTTGGGACTTTAGTTAGTAATTTGCTAATACTTGGGCATACTCCCCCACATTTAAGGTAGTTGTAAGAAGGTCTCTAACCTTGCCATACCTTAAACAATTACTCATTACAGGGGATGACATCTTAAATGTTGTTCAATTAGCAAATTACTTTTATCCAACCCCCACAATTCTTTCATAATTGTAGTTTCTTTTAATGCTATCATTAAATCGATCACATTTTCCACTTTAAGAAGTAAGGAACAACTAAGATATACTTTATCTATCTTTTCTTTTAGGCTTTCAAGCCTCACTAGAAATTATGAGAAAATCACTTCTTGGCTTTCATTCTTTCCTTACTATGACTAACATGTATGACCCAATGGCCATGTCCATTTATATGCTTACTTAATAAGCATCATTATGTCTAATTCAATTATGTGAAATGTCTTTCACATTTTCAGTGTCGTCTTTTCCTTTCTGAAAAACCTTCACACTTTCAAGATTATTTCTCTATATTGATAACATTTTGAATAACTCAATAATATTCATTTTCTCCATGATTGATATGGAAAATGCAGTACTCTCCTTGACAAAGAAGCAAGACACTGCTTACTTAAGTTATCTTCTAGAATGTGCTGCATCATATATGACTAATATGAGATATCCATTATGGGCATTTTGAAATTTATTCATCTCTTCGAAAAAATCAAATAAGTAAGTGTATCACTGTGTGATAATATACATCCAGTTGGTAATCGGTATGTAGAAGGTAAAATACTAGCCCATGAACACATGTATATTTAAGAATGGTAATGACTGGTTGGAAAGGTCATACCCTTTCACTATCAAAAGCAACACTTCAAACGTCATGCTTTTTCTTTGATCTCACATAGCAGATTCCAATTTTCAATTCCACCACATCATAAAAACCACCCATTTGTCAAATAGTTGCATCCTTTTTGCAACTTAACCGTCGCACGGCTCTAAATGACCCAAGATTAACCTCCACATAGTTCTATATGATCCAAGATCCTTGACTCAAATGGATATCAAACCGATGTTCTCTTTTTCTGGAATCTCTAATTGATCAATTGTGACGGGGTTCTACATATGCCACATATATTTTATAGAACAACCAATGAACCAATCCCAGGAATCTTCACATATGAATGCAGCAACCAAATCAAGGCATGCATCTAAATGTCCATGTCTGTCAGTGTCTAGACACTAGTTTAAATGCCACAACTATTAATGTAAAAATAAATAAATAAATAATTACGTCATTCTCATCCCATTTCAGTTTTCTTAGCGTTGCACGTATGAGGCTTATAACCATGTAATTTTTCCGGAAGATAGTGCATGCACAAAATGAAAAAGGAACTACTATATTAAAGCATCATTCAAACAGTATTGTCCATGCATATACATGATGAATATATACATAAACCAAATGCAGTTCAACGCCCTAATTAATTTTGTAATGTATCATTGTACCTTACGACATCAAAGATTCTAACTACCAAATTCACCAGACTTATTCTAATTCAAGTATTGCAGTATGATATTTATCATCAATAATTCCCAGAACGATCTTTTGTTGTTTTGTATACTATATATACAATCTACAACCCATCATCTAGCCCAATGATCAAATTAAATCTTTCTATTGAAATTGGGAAGATTCATGCCTCAGTTTCATCATTAGATGTAGCGATCTTCCTTCTTAAAGAGGGCTAGGGTTTATGTCAAACACAACATATTCTATTTCCAATATCTAGCCGCTGCTTTATGAGAATTGTCATATTTTCTAATTATTGCAAAAATATATAAATTTCTATCTTTAGATTATTGGAGCAATATTAGAAAATATGAAAATAACACAAGAATTTCAGTGATAATAATCATAAAGAAATTCACAACATCAATTATATATGAGATTAATATAAACAATTAGAGACAAGGTTAGAATAACTGACAAACTTGGAGATTGAGGCTTGCATAAATTCAATGTCCTAAAGATAGAATTTCGCCCCTACTCTTGTGCTTATAGTTCGGTAGGCGTCCATCTCCCAGGATTTAACAATCTATAATCCGAAGTCAAAGCACTTCAATCTTCGGACTCTGGCGAACTTTATATATTCCGTACTCTCAAGACATAACTCGGAATTTGACACACGAAACATGAGAGAAACAAAGTGGGGAAACCCTATTTCTCAATAGTAAAAATTTACTCTAATTTTCTATATGTAATACAAATGGTTTCATGGGTTTATATAGAATCCAACTTCTACTTATCAAAGAGATGTAACTTTTCATCTATAAGTATACATCACTTATCAAGAGAATACACCTAAACAACATAACCTTTCTAAGAAATTGGTTAACATTATTTTTCATTCAATTATTAAAATTATATATTATAATATTTCATATTATAATATTTAATTTCCAACAATTTATGCATAGCCTGCAGACAAAGCCACATTGCCATAATTAACAGTTTATCCTTGATTTTCGTATAAATGGATGAGAGAAAGAGGTCACAAACCTGTAAAGCTGCAAGGAGGCGCGTGCTAAAGATTGGCCGGTTGCGGATATCCACTAGAACCCAATGATCCACCTACCGCTCGGGTAGCAATCGTGAAGTTAAGGCATTAACTGCATGGTTTGTGAGAAGAAAAAAGTGGCATTCGTTTGGATCAAGGGGTTGATGTACCCTGGATGAAGTTCAAATTTAAAAAAAGGGGTTCTTTAGAGAAAGGCCCTTGAAACTCCTATTTTCCAAACAAAAACCCACCCAAAAATAAATATTCAAATAAAACCCAAAATTCAAATAGACTACCATGTAGACAAATAAATATTTACAACTTATGCCACAAAACCCTAATTATGTCAATAAATATTATTACTCACCCTAATTATGATTAGCAATTAACCCCATAGGGAAATTTACCTTTCGTGTATCATAAATATTAGTAACATGTATATATATACAATAATTTATCCATATTCATAAACAATTATGGGCACATTTTTTCATATGAAAATTTTGTATAATCAGTTATTTTGCATCAAATAATATTGTTTGATAAAAAAAACCAATTAATGTTCTTTATGTTGTAGGTAAATTATTTTACATAGATTA